ATGGAAAGATATAAGGTAAATCACTGAAAATCAAGCCCCTATTCGGCTCGAAATACCGCCATTGAAACGTTATGAGAGGATTAAGATCTCCCACTCAATGAGTTTGAGTGTGAGTGAGCTTTTAGAATACAGGCGTAAATTGCTTTATAGCCGGAAAATTAAACTAGACTTTGACAACACCCAAACTCCGAAAGCACAACCACAAACGGCGTACACCATATAATATTAGAGAAAAAGTGAAAAATGCGCTAAGGGAGCTTGATATCATTGAGGAAGTTCCGGAAAACGAAGCAACACCATGGGTTCTTCCAATTGTGGCAGTTCCAAAAAAGACGGCCAGGTAGGACGTCTTTTTTGGAACTGGCAGTTCCATGCAAGTAGGATTGTATCGATACAAGAGACTCTACTACGGATCTAACGTTGCCGCGGAGATATTCGAATACACCCTCCAAACTGCACTATAACGAGCAAGCTTTAAAATAATCGTAACATGATCTTAGAAGTAATTTGAGGGTTCGTCAAAATGTTGCCAATGCATGTCTTTTAATTGTCAATTTCTCACCCCATGCACGCATAATTTTTGCTCTCTTTAACTATTGATTAACTATTAACTAACTACTGATTGGGATTTGGGAGGTGAAGTGTTTCGAGCGCGGGGAGTAGACGAACAGCCTTGAATATCAAGAATAAAACCTTAAAACCCAAATTAGGGTTAACTACTTCTTAAATGTATAGTTACGTCATCATGTAACATGATATATAGACACACACATAAGATATAATGAGGGACAATATATACCTCACTGAGAGATGAGTCGATAACACTGAGGGCGAATACGTAACACTTATACTGGGATTTATTAATTTTGTATAGTTGATTATCAATAAATAAGAGAATATTTAACTAAATATTGCATTTAAATTAATCTGTACGTTTGCAGATCCTGACAGATCAGTAAAGTAACGAAACCGGGGCCTGCATGTCAGCAACCAATCATATTGCGCGATTCATCAAAACAAACACTGCATGATAATTGAAAATTCTATTGTTTTTGTTTTTAAATTGTATCGATATTGTTTTGACAGGCCTTCAAGTCTCGCCCAATTTTTTAAACATAATAATGTAATAGATTAACTACGCAGTTATTACTCCGGCGTGAGCGACGGAGTTGAAAATTCGCCTTGGTTTTTTTTTTATTTTTGGTCGTCGCAAGTGTGTTTTGGCGCGAAATATACTAGTATTTGAAATGTGTATCAGACCATAATTATCTACGTCACATGCAGTCTTGTATCCCACTGAGAGTTGTGGTGCACAGCTTTGGCTAATTTTCCGATGCGCGAATCGATTTCGCTCGCATGATACGGCAATTCCTCCAAGAGGAACAAATAAACGGTTCTTTTGATGCTGTTCGATTATATTTAGATTTAATTTGGGTAAGAATATATTTAATACATATATATTCTGGTCCTATTTTAATAATATCGCTGCTATTTCTGCGTTGACACGTCGCAGTTTGCACAGGATTGAAGATTTGATATAACTATATAAGCGCGAATTCCAAACGCAAAGTGTAAGACAAAGTGAATGTATTATGCGGTTTATTTACATTTTTGAACAATTGAACTTCTATAGTTTTTAATGAACGATGTGCTTCTAAATTTGGCTATCGAGCAGCATTTAGGTTCGCAAGGCATCTAAATGGATATGAACTGTATTGTTTATGTTGAGAAGCTTTGAAGACTGGCACGTGCACGCGCCACGCCGGAGTTACGCCAGAACAGGCGTCAAAATTTTGGAACCATTTAAAAATTGTTTTAATAAAATATATTGAACAAATGCTATTGAATAAGCAGGGGAATTTAAATATGAACTTATTATCGTTTCTAAATTATACATACAAAACATAACAACTTTAGTCGTCAACAACAATATATCAAGGACAAGATATATGATTATACACTACCATAGAGTATGAGAAGAAAAAATGTCATTGCTATTATATATTTGTTTATAATCTGGCAATTCAAAACCAGGCGTTTAAATAGTACCTGTATATAAGCGCTGCAAAACGTTATCCAGGTTGAAGTTCCACGATCATAAAAATATAAATGTCTGTATTGTAACAAGCATCGTACTCTGTCCCGTCAAATATCGTGTTATTTTTAGTTTCATATAATCATTATGCTGTAGTATCGTATTTCATATGCCCTGCGACAAGGTTTACTAAATATTATATGATGTAAATAATGTGTAGTGTCAATAATTATTCCATTAGAAAAGTTACTAAATACATGTTTTACCTGCGTTCCTGGGATATCAACCGTATAGGATTCAAGTAAACTGCGTCTGGGCGAACATTATTTTTTAAGATAACTTCTATTTAATTGCTTTCCATATATTTATAGTTTAAAGTCATATATTATTTAGTCGCATTGGTTCAACTATTAAACGAAATACATGATATTAACGCAACTTACTGGCTCATTATAAATCCACGCATAAAGTTATTTGTTTTGTCTTACAAAACGAACTGATATCGCAGCAGTTGTTGCAATAGCGACTGAATCCGGACATCCGACTTTATTAAAGAAACAAACCCAAAATATATGCAAATTCTTATGAGTTCACCAGATCCCGCCGAAGCGACATAAGTTCCCTGGCGGAAAAAACAAGGGGCGATGCATTTTGGACTTTAAGATGCATCTATTTAACTGTAAGTGACATTACGTATCCAAGTATGTTACTATACCAAGCCGGACCTACAGTTCGAGAGATTTACAAGACTGGAACAGACGCAGATTACGACGTCGCGAAGCAAAAAATTCAAGACATATTTCGATCCCCAAAAGAATCGACGGTATTAGGTACGAAGTATTTCAATTCAGACAGGCAACGCAAGGAAACAACGAGACGTTAGACCAATTCCATACAAGGCAAAGAACAATGTCAGAAACATGTGAATTCGCAGACGGTTGATTTTGAAATAGAGGAACAGATAATAATAAGCGAAAATTCATCGAAAAAACGAAAGCGAGCTTTGCGAGACCTTAAATTTGATTGAAAAGACGGCGTGACGAACAGAGTCTCGAATCAAAAGAACCAAACACATACAATTAGATATATACATATATATATATATATATATATATATATATATATATATATATATATATATAGATATATATACATATAAATATATATATATATATATATATATATATATATACATATATATATATATATAATATATAATATATATATATATATATATATATATATATAAATATACATATATGTATATATATATTATATATATATATATATATATATATATATTTATATATATTTATATATAATATATAATATATATAATATATATATATATATATATATATATATATATATATATATATATAATATATTATATATATAAACATCTCCAATGTTGTTTGTAGTCCTGATCTTAAGAGAGTCGTTGATTTACCAAACGCACCTCAGCCAACTAATGCGCATGAAACCAGAAGCCTTCTTCGTATGCCTAACTATTCTAGTAAATACATTTGAGATTTTGCAACCCTGACCACTCCACTGCGTGAACTGACAAAAAAAGACGCTCGGTTTGAGTGGACTCAAAAACATCAAACAGCGTTTGAGAAGCTAAAGAACACACTCGCCACTGCGCCATATATGGCATACTTCGACAAAACGAACGGAACATTTGTTGTCGCTGACACAAGCCCAGTAGGAGTCTCGGCGATTTTGTCCCACAAAAAATGGCGAAAAAGAGGCGTTATAAGAGGCGTGATAATTTCGGCAGTTGAACAATTCCTTTAGAAATTATTTATGGACACCGTACAGCTAAAGATGTACCGTGGTTCACCTCCAACCAAGCTTGGGCGTGTACCGTGTTTCGCCCCCAACCATGGTTGGGCGTGTACCGTGGTTCGCCTCCAACTATGGTTGGGCGTGTACCGTGGTTCGCCTCCAACTATGGTTGGGCGTGTACCGTGGTTTGCCTCCAACGTTGGCTGGGCGTTTACCGTGGTTCGCCTCCAACCATGGTTGGGCGTGTACCGTGGTTCGCCTCCAACCATGGTTGGGCGTGTACCGTGGTTCGCCTCCAACTATGGTTGGGCGTGTACCGTGGTTCGCCTCCAACGTTGGCTGGGCGTTTACCGTGGTTCGCTTCCAACCATGGTTGGGCATGTACCGTGGTTCGCCTCCAACGTTGATTGGGCGTGTACCGTGGTTCGCCTCCAACTATGGTTGGGCGTGTACCGTGGTTCGCCTCCAACTATGGTTGGGCGTGTACCGTGGTTCGCCTCCAACGTTGGCTGGGCGTTTACCGTGGTTCGCCTCCAACCATGGTTGGGCGTGTACCGTGGTTCGCCTCCAACGTTGGTTAGACGTGTACCGTGGTTTGCCTCCAACCATGCATATGCGTTCAAGATAATATATAAATCGGGTGCAAACAATCCAGCAGATTTTCTTTCTCGTCATCCCACTGACAAAAATAAGCGGGAAAAGGAGAAGATGACAGAACCCTACATCAATTTCGTAACTCAGAACAGTGATCCTAAAGACCAGTTTAGACTGCGCGATAAGTTGCGGAATGATGATAGTATAAGAAGGTCATCTCAGAACAGACGCAGTAGCGTAGCCAGCCTGACAATTTGTCCCGCTATGCTAATATTTTAGTGTTCAATGACTGCGAAAACAATGAATTTCTGAAGATATAAATAATTATAATAACTCGAAATTTAAATAGCGGGACAAAATCGTCAGGCTAGCTACGCCACTGAACAGACGACCGCCAGAGCGATAATTTATGGACTAGAGTATCCTTCTGATATTATAAGATAATTTGTATGCAGAGTATCATAAACGACTGATATGTCTAATAATAGATTTGTATATATTATTGAATTGAAAACCTTCAACTCGTAATCATTTTTTTATTTGATAACGGCTTACTGCGAGATTACCATTTGAGGCACTGATTACACAAAGTAAGCCGTGTTTTTTTGCCCTAGTGGAGGCAGCTATCTCAAAAATTGAAACGTCTTCATCCACACAACGATATAATACGGTGATATGTTTAATTTTTTTCGGTTTTGCTTGTAATTCTGGGATCTGAATTTCTTTCCAAATTTATGTAGCTACTGAACTTTCTGTTCAAAAATATTTAGGGAGCCATACTTGTGCCAACGGATTAGGAAACCCGATCAAAGGAATTTATTAACCTTACGTTGTTACGTCGAAAGACACTCAAGCACAATTTCCTTCTTTTCTTTCCAATACAGACCGCTTGACAATACAACAATCTAAGGAGGAACCAGCTTGAGCAGAATAAGTACTTAAAAGTTAAAAATTAATTTGATCGCGAACGTGTTATGATGGAGTTACATATTATAATTATTTTGCTTTACGTCACATTCGTAACTGATGTTGTAAAAGCGTCTACTAAGTTGAGTTGCGCCGCTTCGCCAGGCATTCCAGGGATCCCTGGTGTCCCAGGAAATGCTGGAAGGGATGGCTTACCAGGAGCTAGTGGTCAACCTGGGCTAAAAGGAGAGAAAGGGGAGAAAGGTGGCGATGACATTGATCTAGCGATGTCGACATGGAAACAATGTGTTTGGAAAAGGTATGATACAACATCTGATGGCTTGATACAGAACTGTATTTTTCATAAGAGATATGATAACACGTCCTTGAGAGTATTCTTTGCTGGAAACCTTCGTGCTGTAAAGGCAGGAGTCAATAACTGTGCTCGATGGTATTTTACATTTAACGGCGCAGAATGTGCAAACCCAGCAACTATTGAAGGTCTTGTGTACCACGAACACGGCAGCAAAGATGACCCTTTTCGTCATCGGCATATTGAAGGCTACTGCGATCAGATCCCAAAAGGCCAAATACACGTTGGATTCTTTGTGGGAAAGTGTGAAGTATTCGAAATTGGATACGTGTGTACTGGCTGGCGATCCATTTCGCGCGTAGTTATTGAAGAAGTTCCGCCTCCTCAACCGTAAACTTTCGAAGTTGCTAAGACTGCAAAAAAGGAGATCCGTAGTCCATGTGTGAAACATTATGCCATGTTATTTTTACTTTTTAAGTATACTATACTATACTATGCTATACTATACTAATAAATATTTAATATCATATAGAGTGGCGCAGGTTCAATCGCAATGCGCATATTGTTTTTGATAATTTGATGTATTTGAGTATATTTTTATATTAGTAGGTGTTGCAGCGCCGTAGCTAAACCGCTTAATTAGGGGGGGGGGTGTATATTCATATATTCATGTTTATATACCATAGCAGCAATAGCATACGAAAGAAATCATTCGGGCATATGACGAATATATGAATATGAACCCCCCCCCCCAATTAAGCTTCTAGCTACTAGCCCTGAGGTGTTGTACAGTTTTTGACATAAGCTCTTGTAAAAATATTGAAAAAGAAACCGCACGGGAATTGTGAGCAAAAGTGCACGGCAGGAAATCCAAATTCAAAATGATGGCAAATATTTAATTGGTGAAGCATTTAACTGGTAAAAGGGAATTAAGGTGGCTTCCTAGAGTTTTGGGAAAGTTGCATTGAATGTATTGAAAACTATTTATAGAAGCCGTTGCAATGGCAACAGTGACGTTTCAATATGGCCATGCACCAATTATCGTTAAATTACGATTATTTCACAAACGAAATGTCTTCTTTTTCTACTGAACGTTTTGCCAGATGGTTATTAATTGACAGGATAATTTTAGGAAAAAGTTATCGATACCCAAAAAAATTAAAGTACGAAAACGTGGTTTTACGCAATTAAAACAAATCCTATCGATAACTTTTTTAAAAATTGTCCGGTCGTTTACTATAAATGACTTGCAAAGCATTTGGTGAAAAATAAAAAAGATTCGCCGAAGGATTCACTAAATAACTGCAATAAAATTCTAATTTGCGGCCATGTTGAAACGTTATTGTTGCCATGGCATAGTTAATCAGTCAACCGTTTCTAATCCCTAACGCTATGTACAATATAATCAAAAGTACTATTGATCTTTAGTCCATGATATTCGTGTTTAATTCGGCACAACAATGAACAAATCTGCTGTCTAGAGTTTTTAAAAAACTCTAGGGAGCCACGTTAAACGAAGAGAGGTTACTAGAGTTACTAGAGTGCAGGTATCCATCGCGATGATGCACATGTATACGTTTTTTAAGCTATATGGATTTTACAGCCGAGGTATTCCTAAAGCCGTTCCTCCACCAAATCTTTACAAATTTGGCTTACTAGTGTTCGTAATATTTGGTACGTTCTTCTTCCTTTTGTCTTGTTTGAGTTTCTTAAAGGTGGGTTACATGCAGTCAGTAATGTAAACTAACGCTTTGTTTACATTTGAATTGCTATATCTCTGTCTAGTAATCTCGGAAAAATTATTATCATATTTTCTAAATCAATAAGGCATTTTGTTTATGTTCAAAGAAATCAAAAAGATCAGAACCTGTACTAGTTTAAAAATGTTCCCACGGAATGCATGCAAGAAAGAAAGAGTAATTAATAATTGGGAAAGGCCTAAAACTTAAGTTTACCGATGCAGTCTTGTGGCAAAAATCAATTACGGCATCACAGCATTGCCAGGTTATATTTTCTATTTTGCGACTATTTTAACACACATATAACTAAACACAATAAAGAGTTGCGTAGCAATCCACCTCAGCAAGAATAAGCAGTCCCCAGTTTGGAGTAAGAGGTGAAGAAACTAAGCTAAGTGTTACATAAATTATCTGCAGTGTCTCTAAATATTAACTTATGTACTTATTTTCTAAGCTCGGCGTGGCTATCACGGGCATATTACCAAATGCCTAATAACTGAGACCATACATATAATACGTATTGTTAATCTACGACAACACTACATAATTGATTACACAAGATACAATTGATCTAAAGATAATTTACTTATGCTTATATGTACCTCAGGGGTAATCTATAATATTCATTCAACACATGAGAATATAGCGATTTAAACTAAAATTGGTGCGAAAACAAGGCGTGAAATTTCTTGTTTTCCCGCTAAGTATGTAGCTATGAGCCTAAGCGAAATTATGAATTTGCATATCGATGCAATCAGAAAATGTACCTAAAATTATTAACGTCGTGCATGCATAGCAAATTATATAATAACGGTAAGAAATCAAGCAATTTTATTCGTCGAGAGCCATGTTCTAAAAGGGACAGACTCACGGAATGACGTCACAGATAATTTGACCGAATTTGATCAGCTACCTCGAGTACTATTTTGTCAGCCAATCACATTTTAGCACGTGTCTTAAGCTACCCAATAGCATTTCTCCAATCCCATAGATCATGTACGCATGCATGATATATGCAAAATTTTTACTTTTAGAATTTTGCAAGTGCGTTTGGGGAAATATAATTTATATTTTAATTTCCGAATTTTTTCGATTTTATTACATTAAACAAATAGATAACATTGAACCGTTGTTTTTTCAGTTATAGACACACGCTATGATGTATTTGTGATAGGAACAATCACCCGGCGTCTCCTGGCCACTTTGTTTTGTTCTTCTCACAAATGACGTCATGCCGTGTATGTATAACTGAACAAACAAGGGTTGTATACAAAATTTGCCAAATGCGCATGACTACTTTCTGATCTTAATTTTAGTACGCTCTTTCTAGCAGCGGTGATATATTGCCTTTCCTTTGCCTAGATCTCTAACTAGACTAAAGCGGATAATAATAATAATAATAATAATAATAAATAATATAATATACTAAAATAATTATAATATATAGTCACATATAATACATATTATAATAAGTAATACGACCTGGTCTCACCTAGTTTTTTCGGCCCCCCTTCCCCAAAATCCTTGCTACGTCTCTGATCAATAATTTTACTAAAGATATAGAGAGTCAGATTTAAAAGGTGCTGGTACGGCTACGATACGTGCAAGTATAGCTACGTCAATAGGCGATATAGAGTAGGTAGCATTTTAACGAACAAATATTTTCCAGAAATCATTTCGCGACATTGTGTAATTATTATACGAAGAGAAATCATCGCATTCCCAACGGCCAGTTGGTTGCTGAATTAACCAGTGAACCTTGTAGCTAATAAAGACCGGAAGCTCAAATAAACGATCTTTCACCGGAAGTCCTTCGTGATGCCATTTACCAACATAGTAATTTCCCGATTCATAACCCCACTGAGAACACTGACTGGCCATCATCGAATTATCATCAGGTAAACGATAATAAGATCCACAGCTCTTGGGAAAGGTGTTTGTCTGAGCAGTAAAATACTTGATAACTTGTTGACCAAGATTGTTGGTTTTATTTGTAGCGATATCAAAGATTCGTCCCGGGATCTTTTTACGGCAGAAAAATCTGATTTGATTGAACGACATGTTTGATGCGAGGTCGCGGAGAGCATACGTAGATATTGCAAGGTTTTGGTTTTTGTATTCACTGATTTCTTTATAATCATCTGTCAGAAAGACATCCATTCCTTTGGACTGATTTAGAACAAGGTTACTAACCAGTGTCCAGCCACCTATAGAGGATGGAGCTGTGATACATTACGACATAATTATTAAGTCTGACGATTTGATTTTTAAATAGCAATAAAGGCGTTTTACTTTTTACCAATATCATTTTCCCTGCACGATAGGTAAAATAAAGTAATCCTGTGTTAAAAAATTTTCACCGCTTCCGGAAAATGAAATTTTCTTTGTTTTGATTTTTTTCAAGCAAGCTAGATTTTGATCACCAATTTTCGTCTTAAAAATATTCGATTAATATTTGCCAGGGCCGAAACTAGAACGATAATTGGGGGGGTGTTTATTCATATGTGACCTTCCACGGGAAAACGTACGTTAACGATATTTCGTTGAAACGGCAAAACGAACGGATAACGAACGGGTAGTGAACGATCTGTCATAACGTTTCAACGAACCCAAAAAACGTTTTGACGAATTCAGCTAAAAATGTGAACGTTTAAAGTCGAGAATACGAACGGATAAATAAACGTTCAATCTGAAGCCGTTTGAACGATTTATGTTTATGAACGGTTTTAACGAATTAGTCTGAACGCCTGTTGCGCGTATGATTGACGCAAGATATTATTGACTAATTAAAATAATAGGAAATATTTTCAAACACCTAACATGTGTTGGCGCAAGATGCGTGTACATATAAATAGCTATGCCTTTATTTGAATGTTTAACTAAATTTATTAGCTAAACTACCTAAATCACATTATTTTATACTTTATATACATATACACATTTGCATTTTGCATCAAAATTCGGGTTTATTAATCGTTAGAAAGCCTTCAGTTATTAGTACAAATTATCATCATTATGTCAAATTAATCAATGCATCATCTGCAACTATACCCATCAAAATATTCAGCGCGTGTTTATTTGCAACAACGTTACAGATTTTGTAAATCTCTCCACGGACAAACTATATGTATGGGTGGTTAAGGACATATAAACACATCATGCATGCATCCGTTTTATTATTAACACGGCTCTAAACCGAGAGTAAACGAAGATTGCCATAAATGGCCTGGCTTCGATAATAATATCATAGGCAATGTCATCGGTCATGCACCGTCTCAGTTTGGTTGAGTTTCAGCTATATACTGGCCACATATTTTATGTTAAACTAAACACAAGAGATTCCATTGTACACTATTGCTTATACTCTTTGACGCGCAAACGATTAAATTAATTAGCGCAAGGATCAAGTTGTTTACAGATGATAACCAGACATTAATACAGAATATCGCATACGCAAAGTTCGTTTGTATGCGAACCAGCGTAGTAACGTCTGCTTGCATGCTGTCAAAACCTATTTGATATAAATAGCCCACTACATTAAATATCCAAACCAATTATACACGTGAAAATCCACATTTAAATTTCAGCAATGCATTGCGCGGCGGTAATAAAATATTTAAAATATAAGCTTGGATATTTACCTAGTGCACACAATATGTTCCGTGCAGCAACACCAGTAGCCTCTAGCTGCAGTCAAGCTTGTCGCGGAATGTCGCCTATACACAGTACTGTCAGTAGCAATTAAGGGCATCATTATACCTTAAGAATATTTTAAAATTTGATAATCTATTTTATCGACTGCATGCACCATCGCCATATTTTCTTCGCAAAGCTAAAGCTGCAATGTTTCTATCTCTGCCGCCATATTTTTTCATATAAGTGATATGTTTTGTGACCATACGATCACATATGCATGTGTTATGACTTATGAACCAGTATATCGCTAATTAATACTTGTGATATTAAATTAGGTAACCAAATTCTTGGTGGTCACTATATTCATCAGGAAATATTTTATTTCCACCCAAATATTCGACCATGTACATAGTTAACTGTGTAAATACCTATGCTACCTGAATGAGCCTAACAATAGTGACCTAAAGAAATAGAACGCGTATTAAATTAATGGGATAATTTTCGAAATCTTCATTTCAAACCACCGCGGCAATCCGCAATCCCGAAGGTCCGAATTCAGTTCCGCCCTGCAAAACAACTTAATACTCAACCCCGGCAGCAAGAAGAGATTGCACAGTATTTTCACTAAAGCATATAGCAATAGCAGACGGCCCATATAGAAACCGGGTTTTTAAATCACAGAGTGCAAATAATTTTTTCTGCAAAGCATATAGCAATGCTGCCGCCCATATAGAAACGACAATGCCAAATGCATGCACAGGGGAGTTTATACTCACCATTTTAAGAAACAAAC